GAAATTGGCCGCTGGCTGTGACGGCGGAAGTGAATTATTAATAACCAAGTGACAACACTTGTTCTCTGTGCTTGGACGCCGCGATAATTGCGCAATTCGTTGCCTCAGGTCCAGATGAAACGTGCTCAATACAACGGGGAAACTTTTCTGAAACGCCTCTGACGGGTAATTACTCCGAATCTTGGCCTTTTCTACTTCTGAATCACGGTTTCGCTTCTGTTTCCTTTGTCACAGTTTATGCCTTTTATCTCGCTGTTGCTTCAGTTGTTATTTGATGAGTAAACTTGCTCAGTGGCCGAAGGGTCCGTGTAAGTGAGTGAGAGAGTCTAAAATTAGGTGCTAGTTATTTACAGTCAAAGATCGTCTCTCGTCATCTTGGGCTGCGGGGGCATAAGCCGTGAAGCAATTATAGATTGATGGAAGTAGAAGCGCCTGAATAACGGACTCTGTTAATTAAATTAGACTGTGGTGATTTGCTTTGTTAACTGTTTGATGTCAATGACTTGTAGGATCCGACGCTCACATTCACAAAAATACTACCCTATACCACATGCGAGATTTTGGATTCTGCTTCTCCTTTCACTGCCTATTCTCTAAAGATTGATTGAAACCTTTCATGAATTTCTCATATACTTATGTGTTACAACCAGTGTCTTGTCGATGATCTCCATTTGCGCAACCACGAGTGTAGTCAAAGTCTTACAGTCAATAGAGCACAACCTTGCATCATGTCAAAGTTTCAACCTAAATAAACTACCTCAGCCTTTGAGCACAATCAAGCATTGATCATCTTATCAATCAATCTCTCACTGCACAAGACATGCACATATGATTCGTCATTCTCGTCTCTAGTCTAGAGAATACGCTACCGACTCACGGCGAACCAAAGAAGCACAGACAAGACACGATACGAAAGAATGGGCTGATTCTGATTTTCTCGAGTCCCACCTTTTGTGACATGATGTGAGCTGCCTGCTACCGGCCACACCGAACCAGGTCAACGGTAGTCCAAGGTAGTTCGTAGTCTCGGAGGAGAGACGCCGTTAAAGTAACGAGACTATTGCTACCTTATCTTCAGCCGTTTATCCAAAGAATGCAACGAAACAGTTGCCTTCTAGAAACATTAACCAAAGTCCCTGCAGATGCATGCATTAGCCACAATTCGTTCTCCTGACTAGAAAAATAGTCCATCGGACTGCATCGAAATCAGATCACCTGCTAACCAAAGTGTTCCGTTTATAGTACCGAAAACAGAAAAAAGAGCCTCATGAGGCTCTTCCGCATCGGCTCGGCCCTATCTATACCTTACCCATGACCCAAGAACCATCCAGAGCCGAGATACAGGGACAGGCAGATGAGATTCTGATAAGTTTTCAAGATGAGGCTCTGCTTTGGTGTTATTCTAGAAACAAAGCCACAGGGTGTGTACGATATACGCCCAGCATCCCCCCGGGTATCTGGCCGAGCATCCATGATCTGATCTGACGATAGCAAGGATCGTGGACTTCGATCGCGGCTGTTTTCTCGGTGTAAAGAGGCTGTGCTTCGCTAGATCTCGATATGTGGACTTGGCCTTCCGTTGAAGTCACGATATAGTTAGACTGTACTGTCCTTGGTTTGAACCCCCACGGTGGTATGACGGAGTTTTGGGCATGTTGCAGGGTCAGTCATGTAAGATGCACGTCGGAGAAGTTAATGAGTTCGTGGCCTCTTACGTATGGGCTGGGAGGGTTCTTGATATCGATGATCTGATGTGGTGTTGGGCTTATCTTGCGGTGAGTGGGCTTCGGTTTAGCCGGGAGGGTATTAGTAGGGGTCTTGGTGATGGGCTGGACTATGATGTGTCATTTTGGTTCGTAGATGGGGTTGTTGTATTTGCCATGGTGGTGTAGATGCAGATACTGTGATTTGCATATGGTTGGCTCTGGTGTTGAGCTATCCATGACCAGGTATCTAAGCACGTGTTTCTTTGATGGACTCCTCTCTATCATGGATGAGATTACGGACTGTAATCGTGTATCTTTCGGAAGCAGTATGAGTTGAAGAGTACTTATGAACCTCGGCCTTCATAGTACCATCATAGTGTTTTCAACTAATCGAGATATACGAATCAAGTCTGCTTCACTCGTATCATTGAGATGGAGACTGGGCAACTGATAATCAATACCATGGTATAAAGCTCTTGTGCACAGTAACTCAAACAATACAAACACACCCAACATCACTAGCTCAGAGCCAAGTAGGCAATTCCTTCACAGTCACATGAATCTGCGGCGTCTTCAACTTCTCCTCATCCTCATCCCAAATCTCCGGATCAACCTCAGTAGTGCTCCACAGATCATCAATATCCTCAAGCCACTCCGAAAGCTCGCCCTCTTCAACATACTCACGATCCGTTTCTTCATCAGTGTAATGGAATTCAACCTCGTCGTCACGCTGTAGGAACCTATCAAGCTCCCACCGTGGCTGCACCGGTGCGTCCAGCGGTATCTTGACTTCTGCTATGTGTGCTACATCAGGCAGCTGTCTCTTGATCATATGGGCTTTGGGGAGTTCGTTCCACAGGACGTAGATGGCCTTGATGTTCTTCATCCATGGCAGTAGAACAGCGATGTTGCTAATGCTGTAGTAAGCTGTGAATGCTGGGAGTGCATGGTATTTCACACTCTCCATTATACGAATGACGGCAGCGTGTTCATCATCATTCTCCCAGTCCACGGTCAGAAGCTGGAATGATTCCCATTTATCCCGAGAAACGTAGAGAATATCTCGCTCAGCGTCAAAGTGACGAACGAGGATATCGCCTTTGGTCTCTTCGCGAAAGTACCACTCCAAGTTATTCTTCTTCCTCCATTGCTCAATCACTCGTCGACCCTCTTTGCACACGGCAGCACAGGTGGGAATAGGTACTTGAACACGAGGAGGCCGACTTAGTTGTTGAATGCCTTGCGTAGTCATGTCGTGAAATGTAACGCCAGGGGGAGAATACTGTGCCCACCAGTCCATGTTGTACATGTATAGGGCGGCACCGCCATCTCCTTCAGGGAGCGTGTGCTCCCAAATAGTAGCACGCACTTCTATTGGAAGTTTGGCGAATTGAGGGAATGCTTGATCCATGGTGAGTTCAAAAGAGTCACTGAATTCAGTATATTCGACAGTAGAACATGAGGTTGTGGTGTAAGTGATGTGAAAGAATCAAGGTCAGAGACGCGCTTCAGCGCGTCTCTGACCCTCTGACCGAGGGTTTTATATCGGTCAAATAGGGGGTTAGGGCTTTAACTTTTCTTTTTTCCAGTTTGATACGCCAATTAGTTAGTGCCGTGATCAACGCGACATACCCCTTACAAGGATCAGCTCAAATGTAATTTCGTTACGGGCCACGTCTGAGAATATTAGAAATGTTGGTGGTGGTGATGCTTTTGTTGGGCTTCAATACACCAGAGTGGATAACTTGTGCAGTGGTACATTTGATGAAAACGGCATTTCGCTTAGGAACTAACTGGGAATTGGCTACTCGTTCATGGCTTCAATTTCTATTGAGTTGATACAATTCAGATATATATTTGTCACTGTGTAGTCCCTTTTACGCGAGTATTGCTTGTCCAGGCTATGTTTGCTTTCATTGAATGGGTCGATGTCGGCCACATCAGATCAAATACAATGCAATGCCAACACCAATTGCCATGGTTCCATCAATTTCTCAAAGTTACCTCATAATATCCCAAGTAGGCACCTGCATGACAGTCACATCAACTCTGGGCACCTTGAGCTCCTTGGTGACGCTGTGAGCGATATCCGGGAAGCTCTCCACCAATATCCGCCAAATGTTATCTATCTGCTTCTGCGGATCTCGGAGATAGACCTTGTCGAATCGTCTTAGTTGATTGTGCCTGTCCAGCCGATGAATATGAACCTTTTCGTGAGGCTTAGGCTGTGAAGCAATCTCGCATCGCTGCTGGACTGACATATCGCTCCACCACTCGCGACCATTTGGCAGAAGTGTTGTAATCTTCTTGACGACGGGGAGGTCGTTGAAGATGACGTATATCTTTTTGAGGTTAGGTGCCCGTAGCATGAGGCTCGCAATATGCTCGGCATTCTCGAATCTCGACATGCTATCGGCTGACACGGCGAAGTTGATGATGTTGTTGCGTAGGTTCTGGTGCTCCTCGGGGTCGAGCTCATCGTTGTTGACGAACCCCTCAAACATATCCCATTCATCTTGGGGCACGTAGAGTATATCTCTCTGCACGTCAAATGGCCGGACAATGATCCTTTCATCCGTCTCCTGACGATCATACCACTCGAGGTTGTTCTTGGCCATCCAGCGATGAACAACGGGGCGGGCGTCTCTGGAAACATTGTATACTCCAGGAATAGGGACTTGGATACGGGCAGGGAGGCACGGGTTGAGATCCTCGCTAGGGTAGGGACCTCGAGGCCTCGACGACGGGAAGAACTCATTTGCCCACTCTGTGTTGAATATGTATATCGCGTTCTCATCCTCGGGGAGGGTATATTCCCATATTGCTGCGCGCAATTCTGGGGGCAGGTCGTCAAATCGAGCCATGTCAAATGAACGTGCTCTGTTTATCAACAGTCTTTGTATTTTTGTTTTGTTGGGGAGAAGTTGTCATGAATTATTCCACAGCAAAGTGAAAGTGAAAGTGAAAGTGAAGGTGGGAGAGGGGAGAGGGGATCAAGTGATCGCCGTGCCAATTATCGATGTAAAGTGGCGGTTTTAAGTAGGTAAACATGGATGCAACATTCAAAATATGCAATATCAACAAAATGGAATCCCTTGATTGGACAGTCTGATTTTCAATCAACAAGAACTTATTGCAATAGATAAGATGTATATGTAGTTTTTGTGTTATGTTTGTTGCTCAAGTGAATGAATGTGTGATACAGCAGTCAATATATATGACATGTATTTATTCGACCATATTAACCTAGTAGGTGTACTTGGGCAATCCATCCAAGAACGTTACATACTCTTCTTAAAACCTCGCCTCAACCTTCTTCTCAACATCCTGCAACGCCCACTCACTCCTGTTCTTCTTGCTCCTCACCAAATCAACCTGCTCCTGCGTGAACCCCTTGGCCTCAACAGCAGGATTATACCCCAACTTGTTCCTGTTACCAACCATGGTCGAGTTGACAGCCTGAGCAACTCCTCCATCTGCTCGCTTGTAAACAGTAACCACTGCTGCGCCTCCAAGACCGAGATTGTGCTGAAGACAGTATCGTGTGTTGGGCGTAGCACGGTTGTTGGCCCAGCCTCGAAGATGCCAGACCAACTCAGCGCATTGCGCAATGCCTGTTGCGCCGAGGGGATGACCCTTGGAGATGAGACCGCCTGAAGGGTTGATGACGTATTTTCCTCCGTAGGTGATATCTCCTGAGCGGACGAGCTCGTGTGCTTTACCCTTGTCACAGAGACCAAGAGCGTCGATGGTGATCATCTCATTTGCGCTGAAGCAATCATGCAACTCAACGACTTGACAATCACGAGGTGAAATACCAGCTTGTTGAGTAGCCTCCTTCATAGCACGCTGAGACATCTCATAGCCCATCAGATCAATAGAGCTTTGGGAGAAGAGACTTGGTGCATCAGTTGCGAGATGCTGGCCTGCGATCTCGACAGCCTGTTCCCGCAGATGGGGACGAGCGTTGAGGAAGGCTTCAGATACGATGATGGCTGCTGCGCCGCCGTCTGAAGTTGGGCAGCATTGGAGTTTGGTGAGGGGTTCGTGAATCATGGGAGATTGGAGGACTTGTTCCTTGGTGTAGACTTGTTGGAACTGAGAGTAGGGGTTCTTGGGGGAGTGGGCATGGTTGATGCGTGCAATCTCTGCAAAGTCCTCAGCCGTTGCTCCGTATCTAGATGAGTTAGTATAACTATATCCTGGTGTTGATGTGTATAAGAGGTACTCACTTCTCCATATACTCTCTTCCAGCATTACCAAACATCTGAGCAGCCCCGGGAGCGTTAGTGACGCCCCTAGTCTCTGCCATCATCTTGATCGTCGTCCCAGTAGGGTTCTCTCTATCCTTAAAGTTGCTCTGCAGACTGCCCGCGGCCATCTTCTCGAAGCCCACGACCATGACACAGTCAGCGGCACCGTGCTGAACAAGGGTTCTAGCCATGTTGAGGCCTGTGCTACCTGTCGAGCAGTTGTTGTTGACGTTGTAGACGGGAATTTGGGTCATGCCGAACTGGTAGAAGACACGCTGGCCGCATGTGCTGTCGCCGTAGCAGTAGCATGCAACACCTTGGTCAACATCATCATAGTTGATCTGGGCATCAAGAAGAGCTTTGATACCGGCTTCGAAACCGAGCTCGGTGTAGTCGACTTTGCCACGGGGCTTGATGAACTTGGTCATGCCCACGCCAAGGACGTAGACGGGGGACTTTTTCTTGTCAGGCATTGTGGCTGTATTGTGTATGTAAATAAGGTAAAGTATTGCTTGCTATGAATGAATACCGAGAAAGATGAGTTCAGATGCCAGACAAAAGGGAGTGTTGATTTATGTATAAAACATGATATCACTGCCATTAACTGAGTTAGCTAAGGTAGTCAACCAACCCCAGGATCGACAAAAATTTACCCCGGCTTTGATCCCAATTCGGTAAACAACTCGGTCCAAGCCCAAACTCGCATCAAATAGAATCGATCCTCTCGTTGCATTCACTGTCTCTAGCCTCTAAAAGTTTCAATCATCAGCGAGTGCGGGGGCGCCTAAAAACCAACCGAGATGCCGAGGCTCGTTTGCTGCTTCAACATTTCCTCTTTGGGTCGGCAACGAATTCACTGACTACGACGGCTTATTCACTCCAATCTTAGTAACAAGAGACAATTGGAATGGGTTTGCTATGCGAGACCAAGTTACAGTCACAGTTACAGTCAGGAGTCGGGACAATTAGTCAAGGTCGGGCTCCGCTCCCGGCCGAATAAGTCGGCGCCGTGTTCCATCGGCCGAGTGGACACAACAACAGACCAACTCACGATCAAGCTGACGAACTATAAAAGCAAGTCATTCTAGGTATTTAATTCATATTCAAGATCTTGATTTGTTGCCACTGTGAGGCTCATCTTCCGTCTGTCTTGTCATTCTTGGACATCCCCTGAAGCCTCGCCTCACCTCACTCACTTACACCAAACTCACAATGCATATCCTCCTCCTAAGCTCTTCAAACCACAACAGCGCTCGCATTATCCAATCTGCTCTATCTCGAAACTTTACCATCTCTTTCCTTACTCCCCAGACTTCACAAGTTCCCCATCACGCAAGCATCACCCTGATCGATGGCCTACCCGCTTCCCAACACGACCTCGAAATAGCTTTACAGACACCAAAGCCCCCTGAAGCAGTCATACTCGCTTTCTACAACACCCATGTTCTGGAAGCAGTCACTCACAATCTTATCAGGGCTCTAAAAGCCATACAGACTGCTGAAGCAAACGAAGAAAAGGAAGCTGTAGCAATGCCTCTTCGTCTTGTGTTTATCCAAAGTAACGCCTTGCAGTTAGAGGCAGACGGTTACAAGAGGGTCGACAGAATAGTGCAGGAAAGTGGCTTGCCTTTTGATCTCGCGCAGTGTCCTCGTCTAGCTGGTCAACTCTCTGCCACCATCCGGACCTCGCCTGAACAAGGTCGTGTTGCTGCTTGGTTGGCTACTGTTAAGAAAGCGAGAATGGCCCATTTCCCGCGAGATAAAGCATGGAGAACAAGTCCAATGGAAGAGAACAATCTGGAGTAGGTGATATCAAGTTGCCATGACAGAAATCGTAATGATTCATATATGCATCTGGAGATCGAGTTGCTTGCGGGGATAGTTTTGGTATTGATCCTCATCAACAGCTCAATCCATTCCCATGTTCATCGATTCCATGTGATATATTGTCCAAAGTCCATTCTATCGATAACTTGACAACTAGTTGACTTATTGGGCCTCTGTTATATGCCAAACACACCTCTTCCTTTCCCTTGGTTTGTTCAGGCGCAAAGCATGCGAAAGCTCACGCTTCAACCATCTATTCCTAATGCGCCTCGCAGGGCCACGTATGGCCAACAGTATAAACGCATCTTAATACAATCATCCCCGCAGGGAAATCCTTACCAACGCCCGCTGAACTTCCCAGACCCTCCCTGTATATTGTTCTTTTCAAGTCCAGTTTGCCTTCATCTTTGCAACTCACATATCCACACAAACACTCAAATCAATACCTTCCAGCCGCCCAAGACAAAGAAAACTCAAGTAAAAGGTAAAAGGGGGTAGTAAGAAACAGAGAACTCGAGACTCAAATCTTTCTTCAAACTCAGATACGCATATATGCCCTTGATTCCATTATTCCCACCCTTCCCATAGCATCCAGTTGTCAAAGTCGTTCAGAGCTGCCGGGACTCCAATAGAATTTCGTTGATACATGAACGGTACATGATGCCGGTATGCATCCCCTTGGAAGCCATCGACAGGAACTCCAGTTGAGCCCATGGGAACACCATCGAGGTTCATGTTGGTCGCCCTTAGGCAACGATCCAATACAATGCGGAGGTTTTGTGTAACCTCATCTGTCTTAACTTCCGGTCTGGACACGCATTCCAGAACAACAGCAAGACAGACCACGTCCTTGGTGTCCCGACCACTGATGTTACGAACCAAAAGGTCCAGCGTCTTCTCCACAGTGCTGATCAGTCGTGATGGCGACCAGAGCACAAGGTTCTCTGGGTTGTAGGTCGGGAAGTCGTCTGACGAGTCAGGAGACATGCGCAGAGCTTGTGAGCCAAGTCCGGTGCTGTCAGAAGCTGGCCGAACTGCAGAACGTATGTAGAAGCACACACTCAAAGCCGCCTGGATAATATCCTTCTTCAATACCTGGTGATACATCTCGGCAATATCTTGGAAGTGCGCTAGCATAGGGTCTAGCTCGTCCAGGTATTTCATGATCACCATCGAGGATCTCAGATAGGCTCGAGATATTTGACCTGGCGCGTCAGATGCTCCTATAGCAAAAGGTCGATAAAGTGCAAGTAATGGCCGTCGCACATGCATATCCAGGATGACCCTCGACCTCCATTGCTTGCTCTTCTGTGCATCACTTAGAATGCCCTGCCTAGGGAAAATATAGTTGATATCATCAAGGAATCGCTCCAGCTTGGCTCCCACCTCCAGGATCTCTTGGTAGTCTCGAATTGTGTCGATGCGATTCAGCATGTGAGCTACTTTCATCCGCACACCCAGAGTCATGGCTGCATAAACTTGCATCTGGTTGTCGGTAACCACGTCTATGGGTTTCGACTGCGGGAGCTCTTTCATATCTGGGAAAAGCTCGACGTCATCCAGGTTGCGGGGCGGCCGACAAGTAAAGTCTCCTTCCCGTACCAAACAAGGAAGATTACTTGCGAGTGAGATATGGAGGTCCATATCGAGAATCGTAAACCATAATCGTCGCCGCATTTCGCCAAAGTATATGGGGATTCGAGGTTCAAATTCGGAGGGATCGCGGTGAAGACCCATTGTCATGGCCATGCGTACGATTGAGCCCAGAGATGTCCAAGAGTCCTGGATCCGCGGGGTGATCATTCGCTGTGCATGTAAGAGCAAGACCTCGACCTGGAGTACCTCGAACTCAACCAGCTGTTTCCCTCTCAGACTATCCAGCCATGTTCGCACAAGAGCGCATGCTGTTGGGATATGAACGCCGTCAGATCGCTCGTTGCCAAGCCCTTTTGATTTGGTTTCGAATCGGGATGCGAGGGAGCAAAGTGAAAGTAGCTGTGGCAAGAAATACTCGGACTGTATTTTCCCTTCCCAGAAAAGATTGTACTGCTCCATGAACATGGGTAAATGGACGATACGATAGATGGTCTCCGATGTATCGACATATGAGGCGACAAGCCTGTCACATACTGCCTTTTTAGGTAGAATATCAGTCATCCGCTTCTGAACGGGCATCATCGAGTCCACAAAGACAGTGATCGGAGACAAAGATTTCCGGTACTCGTCAATGAGCGCTTTGTGAAACCGCTTGAAGTTTAGCAGAACATCTCGGACGCCATTGTTATTCGAATTGTTTGCCATGAACTCCTTGGCTTCGTCAAACTATCAAGTTTAGCAAACATGTACTTCAAGGTGATATCAAGGACAATTACCAAGTTGAGCAAGACACGGGGACTATTTTGGCCGTGATATCTTGTTCGCAACGCTCCTTGCTTGACTGTCAATCCTCGGATGGTCTCAGAGGACGCAGCAATCAGCCTGCCACCACTGCCTTCCGAAACAACGGGACTTCTGGCCATGAGTTGCCTTTCAAGCCTTTCCATGCGCATTGACAACTCTTCGAGTGAAGGCGCAGCCCCAGTATCCCCGTTGCGGATAGGTCCATATGTTGAATCGTTGCTGGGGAGAGGAGTGCCTGAGTTGAATATGCCGGGGTTACAATTGCGCTTCGCTGGTCGAGCTGGTTCTGGCATTTCGGTATCTGAGCCTTCAGAGAGGTTTGCGGAGTCATGATCCATAGCATATTTGCAGGTTCGGTTCGATTTCTGGCATTGAGAACAGGGACAAAGCCGATCGCATCGTAGCTTGCGCTTCCGGCATTCGGTGCATGACTTGACTGGCCTGGGTCTCTTGACACTTCGTTGTTGCTGCTGCTGTTGCTGAGTGAGCGCCAGACCTTGCGATGGCGTTTGCTGGTGTAGATGGTGTGGTGGCGTTTGTTGCTGCGACAGCGGTGCATCGTAAGCTGTTGAGCTTAGAATAGCCTGCGAAGCTGCAGCCGGGGCGCTGCCACCATCGTGGGTAGTTGAGTGCGCTGTGGTCATCTCAGGCATGCCTGCGGCCATGCGACTGACTGCCAGAGGACTATACGATAAGGATAAAGCCCGAAGCTACAAGGGAACGAGCGCTCGGTGGAAAAGTGGTCGGTGGAAAAGTGGTCGGTGGAAACCGCATGCGAATCAGAGAGGCGCAAGTACGCGAGGTCGAACAAACGGTCAACGAGCGAGGGTCCAGTGAAAGTGCGCTGACCAGTCTCGAGACTGAGCAATAAGTGGGATGCGGTGGTATTCACGATGCCGATGACAGCCTCGGCTGGGAAAGGTAGACAATGGTAGGTCGCTGGCGCACTGGGCTCGCAACTGACATGGCGGATAACGAAATAGAAGGGACTCGAGCAGAGTTATGGAGGAAGTAAAGCCAAGAGCAGAGTTGTCTAAGGCGAAGCCGAGACGGATAGGCAAGTTAGAGCCTAGAGGCACCACCAGGCACGCAGCTTCGGATAGGAAACGGGGCACAAGGCACGGGGCACGGGGGACAGACAGCCAGGACCACACCGGTAGACGTAAGGTTGGTGGTAGTGTAGACTTTTGGATGCAGATGGGATGGGACGGGGCAGTTTGAACTTGCCAGGCCAGGGTCGTTGAGC